TCTATTGAAATGTATTGGAAATAAAAGATTGCAAGAAATCAATGAGTGCAGTTTCTAGCTGCAAAGCATTTTCCTTCAAAAGAGCTCTGGGTCTCTTGCTTACTTAATCCTTTGACATTAGCATTAGACTCTTAACAGAAGGCACTATTGTCGTTTGAAGCATGCTCAATACGTCTATTGCCTTTGTCTGATGCAATTTAAACTCACCACGTCGGCCTCAGTCTGCCGGGTGGCATGGGTGAGTGCGGTTGGGTGCATTTTATAAAAAAAATAATTCGGTCACTAAAGGGCTAAATGTGTATGCACTCTTTTGTATGCTAACAATAAAACAGCATCTTTTAACTGAGAAAGCAATCGCATGACCAGTTGATGTTCATATCGAAAACGGGATTGAGGTCCTAAGTGGGCTTCTCGTCGTAGATTTTATAGCCCCAAAAGAATAATGCAAAATCCCTTAACGCGAAAATTGGCAGTCTTTCAGCAACAGCTTTGAGTTTATGCATTGGGAGTACACAAATTCATTACTGATGCACAATTAGAGGCTACATCAGTGATCCTGACATCTGGACAATAAATCGAGACTGTCAATGATCATGTGATGGCTTAACCTTCAACCCTCAATCAATCAACCCTCAATCTGCAAACGACGGCGTCTGGTAGTGAATGGAATGTGGCTACAACATAAGTCAGTGACCACCTAGCATTGCTCCACGTTCATGTAGTTGATGAGCTCATTTAATATCGCAAATATATACTCTTTTCTATACGAAACAAAAGTAAATCCTGCGATTGTCCTTACATGGCAATGACAGCAGAGATATTCTATATGCAACAGAACCCAAGAATAAAACACTGAAGATCCATTAGTGAACCAACCCTCAAATGTTCATCATGTGAGCTATTGTTAAATCAATAAATTGTCTTGAAGCTGTTCCAATTTATCGTATCTACCACTTCTCTGCATCAGATATAAGTTTAATCGTCATACTTGTTGAAGAGAGTATAAACATTGGAGTTTACGCTTATTGGCATGGGATATGCGATTGACTTACCTTCACTTGGTGCACCCTGGGCAACGTATACTCATACAGCAAAAATGTCCATAAACCGGCAGTTGACTTCTGACTTCAAACTACCACAATCCCACTATATGTCATATTCGGCCACTTCCACAGTACTCGCCTCACTTTGCATTTTTCTCTACCTTTGTGTCTGTCCGTCTCTTTTACATCTGTAAATCACTCTTCTCTTCCCCCTCTCGACATTCGACTTTTTGTACCCTTGATGCTCCTCCCCTCTGTGAAGTTAACTAAAGGGGTAATGATAACTATCATAAAGCCTGCCATTTGTTATAAATAAATAAACTTCCATTGACATGGCGAAAATCTCTTATCAGAGCGGGAAAGAGTAATCAATTGGTGCCCTAACCCTCCAATAAACCAATATTATTCAATAAGGATAGGCACCATTAAGTGGTGTGCTGGGCACGTCGAAAATCTAAAACTGGAAGTAAGGATGACAACTAAGAAGGTATGGAATTCAGGTAGCTTAGAGTTCTTCTGATTGTTGACTCCCCTCCCTCCCCCTCCATTTCCATCAACCTTAAATCACCTTTCTATTCCAAACATTTTGAAACTCGTTTTACGAAAATCTGAACAATATCTAACACGAAAGTGAATGTACGCCCGGCCCTTCGTAGGGGAATACTTTACTCCGAGATATGGTAGGGATTTTGCATTTTTCACAACTTGTGCTATCTAAGAACTGTTTTCCAAACTTTATGACTAGCCGAATACACCTGGCAAGTTCACATTTGTTTAGACGTCTAGAGACATCATTCCAACCACCTTATTTATCTCATAAGGTCGTTAAATGTTGGAATGAGGCGTATAATCACCTAATAGTTGGTGAAAAATACTTTCCTTCAGTAGGCACAAGATCGAACGTTACGAGGCCTCCCATTTCCAGCTGCAAAGTGATAGAGCTTTAGCGTTCCTATTATTCGCCTCTTTTATTCATTTACCTTAATGAGTCATGTAAATTAAAGTTCTTTACAAAACAGAAGCAGTATTTAGCGTAACAATGGCTGGTTACTTGACGATGGTCATATGAATCAATCTGTTTTTTAACGACTAATCAACTTGCTCATCAATAATTCGAAATTTATTTCTCTCGTTTCACGAATGATAGTGCATACATCTATGAAATTTTTTTATACTCATCTGTTTATCCACTATTTATGGCAAGAGGAAGTTAAAGTTTGTTAGGCTGCATCATTTGAAAAAAAAATTTTATTTTCCGAGTTGTTTTTAAAGCCCCTCCCCATTCCAAGTCTGTCTTACGCTCAATTGTCCAAATAATAATATTCACCCATAAAAATTATAAAGTTAACTGGTCAACTGTGTGGACTGCGTTTATGGAAAAAGATTCGAGTTTATTCATTCTTCGCGTTTGTTATTTGTTTTAAACGAGGCTTAGAAGAGACGCCTTGATGTGATGCTAAACATCGAGGGTAGCATTATGTTGTATGACGATTCGGTCACTCTTGTCTCTGTTTCAAGGTCAAAAGTGGCGGAAATCAGCGCTTGAAGTTCATGATGAACAGCGATGCTGAAAAAAGCAATCCTATCAATAATGTTTTCTTTTCCACGGTTATTTTTTTACCCATGGTAACAACTTCGTACTCCAATCTTATCCGCCGAACAAGCACCGCTGTGTAAATCAGGAGCAATATTTGTATGGACTTGTAACGCGTGATCAAGTTCAGTGGGATTCAAAGTTAATCTTCAAAGATGGTTTGGTAAAGACCTGCATAGCCTATCTCTTAGGTTGGCGTTGTAGTATAATCAGTGTATATTGCACTCCGAACTTTTAATTAAAGATTTAACACACCCAATTAATTGATTCACTCTGTGCACAAGAGTGCCGGAAAAAAATTTAAAATCACGCGATGACGTAATTAGTGTTGACCCAAGCAACCTACTGACCTTTCAGACAACCGGTTCGTAAGAAAGTGTGGAAGAGAAAGAAAAGCAACACATGACTCAAAATTAAGTAATTGTACGCCAATTTAAGCGCTGGCTATTTCTTTAGAAAATTGGGGTGATTTGGAAATTGACTGGCCTCGAAATTAACAGTGATGCATCCCACGAAAGTGCATTTTAATAAGCCAATGACAGATGTGTGCCTTTAATTATTAATGATGTTTACGAGTTAATAGTGAGAGATCACGGGGTCTACTGACTAAACTTGTGCAAAGGGGCACAGCAGAAGTTAAATTTCTCAACTAGGTGTCCTTTGAAAGCGCTTTCCTTCTTTTGATTTTGAAAGTATAGGAAAACACGCTATTTTAGCTATTACTTTGTGGTTAACTGGAATTAATCTCAGCCATCTTACACTCCAAGAGAGAAAATAACTTGCATGGAATTTATTACAATTATTATGTCCACATCAAGGGGTGAGCGATAGACTTATCTCCACGTGGTGAAGCCTGGGCAACGTAAACACATACGGGAAAATAATCTATAAATCGGCAGTTTATTTCTGACTTCAAACTACAACAATCCCACTGTATTTTTACTTATTTAAAATGGCAGGCGTTTTGATGGTTACAATTAGCCCTTTAGCTGTCTTCGGGCTTCACGGAGAGGAGAAGGAACATCCAAGTGACAAAAGTCGAGAGGGGGAGGGGGGACAGGATAATGATTCACAGATTTAAAGGAGACAGACAGATATAAAGGTAGAGAAAAGGTAAGATAAGTACTGTGGAAGTAGCCGAATATGACATGCAGTCGGGTCATTGTAGTTTGAAGACAGAAGTCAACTGCCGGTTTATAGATATTTTTGCCGTGAGTTTACGTTTCCAAGAAAGCACCACGTGGAGGTAAGCCTATCACATACCCCTCCCACTGTATATCATATTCGACCGCTCCCACAGAACTGACCTCACCTTACCGTTTTCTTTACCTTTTCGTCTGTCTCTTACATCTGCTAACCACTCTTCTGTCCCCCCCCCCCTCCCGACTTTTTGAAGCTTTGATGTCCCTCCCTTCTGTGAAAATCGAAGTAAACTAAAGAGATAATGATAACTAGCATAAAGCCTGCCATTTGATATAAATAAATGTCCTCATTAATGGCCCACTATGCGGTATAAACGATCATAATTATTCAATAGCTTATAAATAAGATAGTAATATAAATCGGCATAAGGTCTATAATCCTTAGGAAAAGAAGTAATAGTGACCAAGTCTTTTAGAGTACAAAGGGCGGGGACGCAATCATCTGTGACCGCAACCTTCTTACCCAGAGAGTAATGAGTACATCTAGGCACGCAGGCCTGGTTGGATTAACCTAGCCTAATTAAAGGAAACGACCTGAGCCAAATTAACGTTTTCCAGCTCAATGAGGATAGAATTCGAGTAGTTCCTGATCTTGCGAATCGTACTTTTCTAAATGTCAAATTAAAGGATTCTAAGTTCTCAAAAAAGGGTTTAAGATGGAAAGGTAAAAAACATCATTCGAGGCACAGAGTAGTTCCATTTCCCATACGGCCTCTGTAAAATTGGTAGAAATATTAATTTCCATCAATCGATCATTTTTGCCAGTAGCGATAACCATCGAGATACTCTAAACTACCTCTATAAACCTACTACTTTTAAATATTGATCATCAAAACTGAAGAAATGAATTCAATAAGAAATACCAAAGTCCAAACTTTCGATACAACAAAAAGGTAAGTATGAACGTATCCAAATCACACCATTGCAAGCGAGATTTAAACATTCCGATAGGCGACTATAAGATGTTAAAAAAGCAAGGACTTCAGAAAATGGTAACAATTAAGGCGTTTATTAAGATTTTATTTATAATGGGCAAAACAGAGATAAAGTTGCATTCAATTATTGAGGTGACAAATATAAGTTAATGTGGCTAATTAATTTGCGAGGCACACCTGAGGTAAACTATAAAACTCTTTCACAAAAAAGGAAGGCGTCGCCATGCTAACCGACTATAAGAGTATTCTCATCTACAAATCTGTAATTTGGTACTTCTAAATTAGTCGGGGCTGGGCCTTTTCTTATGCGACCAGAGAAATCGAAATGGCTACCATGACAAGGACAGTAGTACCCCCCAAATTCTCCAGCGTCGGCGATGGGAACGCAACCTGAAACAGGGAAGTAGGGAAATATTAAGCTAGTAAGGTAAGTTTGACAACATATTAACTAGCCCACTTACCTAAATGGGTGCAAATACCAATACACACTAGCCATTTAGGGTCTTTTACCCTCTGCTCATCTGTTTCAGGATGACGAAGATCTGAAAGAGGCACTTTACGTTCGTTTTCAATCATTTCCTGGGTTCTATGTCGAATAAAAAGTGGCTTGTTCCTCCATTTAATGACAATATTTTTGCTCTCTGGGATGGTAGCAAGGTTTACTTCTACATTAGCCATAGCCAGAGTTGACGCGGAAGGCCCAAGCGTTTGAACTAGGGTCTTCACGGCATATTTAGCTGATGTAGTCGCTAAAACAGTGCCAGCTGAATAAATGTTTATCAGTAATAAGCCACGCTGATCTTACCGAATGCGATAGTGTAAGTAAATATCTTTCGATCAACTTCGGTTTTCGCAGAAACAGCTTTTGAATTCTTGGTTGAATCCAAACGATATTCGTCAAAGCTTGGGACGTTTGTAACATCCGTATGCAGGAATCTGATACTCTGAGGTACTAAATACTTAATTACATCAAAACTAACGTACGTCCTATTCCACAGGATACAAGCATTCTATTGGAAGCCAAAAACGGAGAATCATAGTAATAGCAATTAAGAGGCCGAGAAAGAGTTGGAAGGAGATTTTTCTGTCTTTCCGTTAAGCTTTTGGGTTGGCTAGTGCTTACCGCAAGTGGTACAGACTTCACAGAAGCAACAATCCGCGGCTGAAGAGCAAATTTAGCCGCCATTCTCGAAAAACAGAAAGGTACTCAGGAAGGCGGATTTACAACATAAGAACCAATATACGATCGGATTAAAATAGTGAGCAAATAAAACCGTCAGAGCTTCAACTTAAAACTAAATTTCTATTAATATTTAGTTTAATATTTTATAATTTATTATTAATATTTCATGACATGGTTGTATTAACTCTCAAATGTATTTTAAGACTCATATTCAAATATTTGGGTTTTAAAAACGACTTTCTTTCAGATTTTATTTTTTCATTACAAAAAGTAAAACGTTACTCGATAAAATTAAGTGGGTATGGATTTTGTTGTGCCCTATCAAGGTTAAAATTATGAGTTTTCCCGCTGGTGAATAACATCATAGCTGGATATTTTCAATCTTCAGTAAAGATCCCATTTCCCATTATATTAAAACTATACTCCTTAAGCTTATTTCAAGTCTGGTTAAATTCCATAGTTTTAGCCCACATAGTTCAGAAGAGTCTCGGTTGCATCAAGGATATTAAATTTTATTAATCGGGCTCATTAAAGTATGTGTTCAGAACACTGGTCTTCGTCGAAATAAATTTATATTTTAAGACTCCTTCAACTATGATTCATTAATAACATAAAACAGTCCAAAAATGTAAGATTAAATGTTAATAGCTATCTGTGGTAATCAAATAGTCAGAAAAACACTAATATATTTATTTTTCCCTGCAACTTCGACAACTTGATCTGTATGCCATATTTTATGAACTCGAAACTCAGTGTGTCTATGATTTTAGTTACCGTTCAAATAAGTATAACTTCCCATGTATGCAATAAATTGTGGTCTTTATCATGCACAATCTTGAAGTAAAGCCTACTTCCAAGGCAGTTATGAGCATTTATTAAGTTCTGCGAAGTTTAGCCAATTAAGAGACAAATTGTCCAATAAAACGGTCACATCACGAAAATTACGACTACAGGACCGTCACTACTTCGTGCCATACCAATGCAAAATTAACAAGACAACATGGCATTTATGACTTTGTTATACATAGTGGAATTAATATACACATGGAATAGATACAAAGTAGGTACAAAAGTGGGGGGGGGGGGGACGATGGGTTCAGTTTTGAAAATCTGCAGAATATTCGTGTGAACCTTTGCTAAGAAAGGCCAGGTAACCCTTTGTACACTTATTGGCATAATGACCCTTCTCACCGCACTTGTAGCAAGTAACTTCATCCAAGGATTTTTGTACACCAGGTTTGGGGTTGACTGCCACTGTTCCCCGAGGTGTCTGACCTGCAACGAATTGAGGCCCGTTACCAGGACCAGGTTGTAAATGACTGTCACCATAATTATTAGTAGCGTTTCGGTCATCCATATACTTTTGTCTCTCCTCTGGAGACAGCTTGTGGCAGAATTGCACTTTGTGCCCTCGTTCCTCTAAAATAGCCAAAAATCATAAATTGGTAAATGTACTTACAGACCAATCAATGAGAACCATATACCAAAATGAGATATTTTAATCATAAATAGTTTCCAAGCCCATTTAGAAAATTAATCTAAACTCTTATCTTTGGCAAGAGAGCAGAAAAGATCGAATTCTGACTTCATCATTTTTAAAGAACCCAAGCTTCCTTCAGAACTGTTATGTATGAGAAATATAAAGAAAACGCTCTGGTAAAAAACCTGATTGTTATAGCTTTCATTTCTAACCAAATTTAACCAGTGCAATAGGCCACTAAGCACTATGGATGTGGAGGGATGGGCAGCGAAGCTGTGACATCTCATCTCGTAGATGAGCCCATTAGACATAGCACACACAGACGCATATAAAGCCGTTTCATAAGGCAACTTAGACAATTCACCACACTAAAACAAGAGACAAATGAGCATAATAGGAATTGTGAGCAATACCGAACGGATGATAGGCAGATATTTGTCCAGAAAAGAGTGAAACATGTAAATTTACACAAAAAATAGCCACGAACAAAAGATGAGCCTATCACTATCACCGATTATTAGCCGATGGACGTGATATTAGAAACGAAAATAATAAATTTAAAGCCATAGGCACTCTTACAATTAATGACTATAAAATCACATCATGAGGCATTAAAATTCAGAACTGAAGCAAAGTAGAACACCCGATTAACTGAGGCTTACTTCTAGTGGGCTTATTTTTCGAATTCCTACATCTGGGTTTGAGCTTTCCTCACAATAATAGTAATTAAATTAAATGAAATTTGCCTTTGAACCTGAAAGATCTAAAGGCATGAGTGCATGACAGCAAAATAGTCAACGAAAATCGCACATATTTTTGAAAACAAGCGACAGAAACAGTAAGTTGATAATATGAGACTTTTTTAACCCGATATAAAACTAATAGCCCTATAAGAAAGTTCACACTTTTTTGAGCTAGTAATTATCAGATATGAATCATAATGTATTGCTGGAAAAAAGCAAAGCCAATCTAAACGTCAGGGAGATTTTACTTCCGCAACCGACGTGAAAACAATAAGTCTTACTTGTCTCTAACCCGTTTCTTGACATCTCGTTGCGTGGTGACCAACACAATAAGTCAAAAGGCATGAAATTAGCTAGAATCTTCAAGCATATATCTATACATCCATTTTCTTACCTCACTACAGGCGCTCAATTAAATTCAACTGTAGCTAAAGATTTTCTTAATAGATAGGTGTAATAGCGGCGAGTTTCTCAGCCAGAGACAAACTCTCTGAATGCTAGATTTATTTGACAACTATGTTCGCCAAAATCACGTCTTCCTTCCCTCTATCATCGAGCTAGACTTTCCGACAAGGAAGATCTGTGAATAGTCAAGGCTTATTAGTGTAGCAAATACGCTAAAACTTAAATAAAGGAACGGAACTGCATATACGAAAATGTGAGGATTACTAAGGGAGGAATGAGGTTTGGAGTATTCATAAATAAGTGAAGAATACTTACTGCAATAATGACACGTCCATCTCGGTTTGTGGGGTTCTATTTCGGTTCCGGGTAGTGGCCAATATTTGGGACTAAAAATTGTCGAAGTTACAAGGGAAAATAAAAGTTACTGTGCTAATTTGCAGCGTGAGCCTTCAAGACAAAGTCCGTTAAGGTAATTTTGACAACAAACTCTGCGTACATGACGATTTCGACAAAGTGGACCTAAATAAATATGATGCTGATTTTAAAAAGCATATACCATTTCTGCAGAAACCTCGAGCATACCAAGCGCAATCCTGAGCTTTCGTAGAGGGATCAACATGCAAAAACAAGCACTCCTTATTTGAGCACTCTCCATGTCTTGAAAAGAAGTAACACTCAGGCATTTTTGACATGTTGTATACATGGAGGAAATCGCAATCGTCACCTTTCTTGCAAAGTCCACGCAGCCAATGCTTGCACACGATTGTTTTATCAGCCTTCATATGTCGCAATGGACACCGAACACCCATTCGGCAACTACCAGCGAAAAAGAACTTACATGCACCAACACTGCTTTCTAATAATAGTAAAGATAGAACAAAATAAACGAACTATTCATAGTAGTAAAAGGAAGAGGAGCGAGCCCTATTTGATTTTCCAATTGATCATTAATTTCGAAGTTAATATAAGATACATCACCCAGTAATTGTTCCATTTCAATGCAACAAGAAGAAAAACTCTGTAAAATAGACAATGAACGCAACGAAAAACGGTACAAATTGCCCGCCAATAATTACCGAATAAGCGTCTCGATTTAAAGGTCAAAATCGTTTTATGAATTTCAACCCTTTCTTGAAAGCAAATAGTATTTTGCTGTAACTTTACAATTTCAAAAAATATTTTTGCGTTTATAATGGTCAATAGTCTGCATGGATGAAAAGATATCTCACTCAATTTAAGCTTTCTTCAAATTGCTTTAATAATATATTTTATAAAGGCAAAAACGTTTGCCAAAATTAAAATAGTTTCATCTCTATAATGCTGCTTCCTGATTTCATATAACGAAATATTAGTTGCGAAGAGATATAAGGGAAATTTCTGCATAATCACACCGTATTGACTGACTTGTCGCATTCGATTTATGCCCAATTGACTGCCACAGTTTTTTAGTAATTCTTCTATTAATCTTATACCTTACTTCCATTTTTTAATATTTCATTCAAATGTGGTGTTTCGTGCATCTTTCATACATCGTTATTGAGCCAACGATATTTAATAGAAAAGAAGACTAACGTACCCTTTGCTGTCATACGTTTCTGTTATTACAAAATGAGTTAATCGAGGTCCATGATCAGTTATAATTTAACTCTCCCCACCGCAAAGCCTAATGACCCCAACTAAATAATTTTAAATCCAGTCTAGTCAGGTAAGCTATCGGACATAAAGCATATCATTCTTTGAGAGCTTCACTGAAAACGGTAAGTAGTCCCGAAGAGATTGGTATCAATGAAATATCCCTGTGTAAATATTAATGGTCGAGAGTTTTTAGCCAGATGTATTGAACGCGCACGGTGTAAAATCTACTAAAAGTAATTGATAAATCAAGCAATAAAAAAGTTTTACAAATAACTGAAAATTTAAATTTTATTATCAGTAATCTAGCTATCTCATTATTTTTAAGATTAATGGATGGGTTACCATATGGGGAAGCATATCAACTACCGGCATAGGTGAAACTCCATATTTGGTGCCGTTCAAGATTAAAATATTCACCATAAGGGATGGCCAGTTAAATAAGGTCACACTCACGAGACCATTATTATTATTTCAAATGGCAGACTTTATGATATTTATCATTAGTCCTTTTGTTTACTCATTCTTTCACAACGGGAGAGGGAGGAGGAAGAACATATATTCAGGCTTTAGGATAATTAATAGTAGTTCATTAGTTTTCTTCTGGCTTACCAGTATCTTTGGTTATCTGTTGCTGTCTTTAGGACTGAACACCGAATCAGGTGGGTCTTCTACATTTCCTCTTGTAGGTCACAAAGGGGGTATGTTGGATGAGCGTATACTCCTAACCTTTAAAGGTGCTTCGCCAGGCAATCATGTCTGGTACATAGTCTTAACTCAGCAATATCTTCGGTTCTTGGCCAGTCGGCTATATCGGAGAGTGACACCGTCCACTGTTTCTCTTTTGTTCGAGCTTTAAGTTTATAACACCTTGAGGTATTGAATTGTCTCTTGATTAAGGTCCTCATTTTGTGGAAAGACATTCGGTCTCTCTTGATTAAGGTCCTCATTTTGTGGAAAGACATTTGCTGGTCTATGCCTTGCAAAATTGTTGTCCCCTTCTTAGCAAATGCGTCAGCACGCTCATTGCCTATAATGCCACACTTTCCTGGGTTCCATAGAGGACCGCTGTTTTATTTTTTCTCTCAGTAACTGATACAGTTTTCACATTCATATATCTCGGCTGTTTTGGATGGCTATCTGTTTCCAATTGCATTTATTGCTGAATCTGATTCCGAAAGAATTACTGCCTTGGTGAATTTCGTATCCAGGCAACACAGTTGGCCTAGCGCTATCTTAATACGAAACTATTCTGTCCCGCTGCTGCGAAGAAGGAGAATAGTTCAGAGTAAACACTTCCAAAAACATCGGCGAATCTATTGTGTCCCGCTGCTGCGTAGAAAGAGAGGAGTTCAGAATAGACACCTGCACCAACGTTTGCTTGGTTTTCTATGTATGATCCACCAGTGAAGACTTGGAGCCATTAATCTGCAGGATAGTTGACATTGATTGTCTCAAGGGCCGGTGAGCGCATTTGTTCTGGAGGGGTGTTTGACTTTCTGAAGTAGGCAATCAGTTGGGTGCATCACACTACATCAGTGTCTTCTAATGGGTTCATCGATTTGCAACGCTTTCTACAGATCTACGGCTTTCTGTATTAGACCAGATTGCGTTTTCAGATGTCTTGGTCTATAAGACGAGGAATGCTTTCTTCAGTTCTATGGCTTTCTGTATTAGACCAGCATGCGTTTTCAGATGTCTTGGTCTATTCTCATAGGTGCTATTTTCAGATGTCTTGGTCTATTCTCATAGGTGCTGAAGAATTTATCCATGGGAATGCGCAGTAGCTTCTTATACAGGATCAAGGCCTTTTCTTTGATATTAGGGCAGTTTATTGAAACTATTTAATAGTTTCGCCAAAAAATCACGTTACCCTACTTGGACTACTAAAAGTATTGAATACTTCCTAGTTACAGGTACATAATTAATTTATTTATATCAAATGGCAGGCGTTCTGATAGCTATCATTAGCCCTTTAGTTGACTTCAGGCTTCACAGAGGGGAAGGAACATCAGAGTGGAAAAAAAGTCGAGAAGGGGGGGGGAGGAACAGAAGAATGCTTCAAAGACGAAGGTAGAAAAAAGGTGAGGTGAGTACTGTGGAAGTAGTCGAATATGGCATACAGTGGGATCATGGCAATTTGAATTCAGAAGTCAATTGCCCATTGATAGACTTTTTTGCCGTACGAATATACGTTGCCCAGGGTGCACCACGTGGAGGTAAGTCTATCCCACACCCCTCAGGTACATCATTATACTAACCAATTTTGCATTGTTTAACCTCATCATATGTGGATGATGTAATATATTCAAATTAAGGTGAAATTTTGTAGAAATTCGAATGGGAAAATGGTCAACATTTTTCCTTCATGCCAAAATGATCTCATTCGATATAAGCCTTCAAACAATTATAGTGATAATCACTTAATCAATGAAGAAATCTCAGACATAGACTTTATCCAGCATTTAATTAGCTTATATAAATATACTATATTTATTATGTCGGGTATTTTAATTGCGATTAATTTAATTGCTTTTCATGAAAAGACGTGAAATCGAGAACGATAATGCATTTTTTCAATGCTATGATATGTGCTTATTTAAG